GAAGTTTGGAGGGAATTCGTGTGAATCTGCAACATGGGAAAAGTGTGACTCATTTTTTTTTATCAAAACTCATCCAAACCTTGCATTTTGATGCACTAATCACTTCTAGAAGTTCAATAAACATGTTTATGAGCAAAAGCATGCAACAATTTTGTGATTAGAAGCTAAAACAAAAGTTTCAAATTTCCGACTTGGTGAAAAATTCAGTTTCAAATTACCATATTCAAACTAATGGAATTCTCAACTCAAGGGGTCTTAGGACATGATTCTTGAATATTTAGAAAGAGGAAACTACAAGCTTTACAATGTGAAAATAATGGGATCAAATGGATGTTTAATCTGAAAGTTGTAATAAGTCAAAGTTGAGAAAAAGAGGTTGACTTTCCATACTTAGAAATTTTTTAAGTTTTTCTTCAAAAATGACTTATAATTTCTTGCATCCAAACATGGCCTTACACTTGAAATTTGTTCTTGACTAAAAAAGATGGTATGAAATAGATCTCTTGAATGACATTTTGAAACGTGAACTATTCAAAATCTCCAAAAATTGAGAGAGTTGTGACTTGTTGAAGTTGGCAAAATTTAAGAAATGGCCTATAATCGTTTGCCTCCTTAGGGCATCTTCCATCCATTTTCACACTTTTCACATAAAGGAAAGGTTGATGTTCACATATTCAAGATCATTGTGGAAAGATAATAGGCTCAAGATGATAAAAATTGATCAAGTTATGATCATTTGAAGTCACATAAAGGGAATTTGAAGATTCATATGGAGGACTTGTAATATTTCTTCACCATCAAGTTTCTTCCACACAAAATTTATTTAAAAATTTTGAAGTGATTTGTTGATAACCCTTGGAATATAAGAATTTCTTTGGAATCACTCAAAAATGTTTATAAAAAAAATGAGCAAGATGTACCCTTTTGAAGTTCAAAACCCTAGCTCCTAGAGCAAGAAAATGCATTGGGAAACCTTTTCCATTTTGACCACCCTTCTTGCACAAATACCTTTGTCATGTGAATATAAGTTATTGAGGATGATAAGGAGAAATCATAGCAACCAAAACCCCTTTCAAATCTTGAAAATTGAAGGAGATAGGAACTTGCGATCAATGAATCAAAGATTTGTCCAATTGGGTCTAACTTCTTCACTCAACCCTTGTACTTTTGAACTATATTTTGACAACTTGAAGTGTGATGAATCATCATAGAATTTTCAATGACATTACTTCAAAGCATCTTCAATAGTGAATCTTGAATCTCAATGAAACTTTGTTGAGGGAGGCACCAAAATGGACTCATGAATCCATAGATCAATCTTGATGAAATGTATTGTACTTTCACCTACACCATCAACAATTAGGGCAAACAAATACTGTATTTTTTAGTTAAAGGATAATCAAAACAAAACATAGATGATCACAAAGTACAATTCAAGGTGCTTGGTGATTCCTCATAGAGCATAAATAAAGATAGGGAGAAGAATCAAACCATAGTGTGTTGCCTTGTTGTGATTGAATTGGTATGATATGATGGAGGGATCTTATGGGAAAAAATTAGGGTACAACAATAGGTATGCTTATTTTTAGTGTGTTAAGGTTTATTCCGAGGCACTCATTTATGTGTTTGCTTTCCTAAAGTATCATTTATTAGTACTCTTAGTTCATATGTTTTTCTTTCAATCCACCAAAAAATCATATATCTTTCTCTTCCATTTCCCATTATATATTGATCGTTATATAATGCACCAACAGTATCTGCTATCTTTATATTTGGTTTAATTTTTCTAACTTACTATTTTTTATACCAAGATCAATCTCTATATGTTAGGTTTGGTTTATTTGAATTATTTGAGTGTGACTCTCATTTCAGTAGTACAACATATTACTAGATTTGGTCATTCAATAATCTGTCCATATAGAAACTATTATTTTATTGTTATTCTCATGATTTAACAGGGATAGAAACTACTTCTGTATATAATAGAGTTAAGGCAATTTCTCATATTCATTAATACAAACAGAATTACAATATAGAAGATAACACGCATAATAACAGTAGGATAATTGTTCTAAACTCCTTACTTAGAGGTCTAACAAACAACTAACTAAAATGACGGCATCTCAATCCTTAACATAGTAAATTGAAGTTTATTTTAAAACACAATTACCTAGTTCATAGATACAAGACCTTACTTAGTGCATAAACTGAAGGGTGAGAAAACAATTAGAAGGGGGAGGGGGGGGGGGGGGGGGGGGTTGAATAAGTTTTTCCTTTTTCTCGCGCAATACTAATGGAAGGACACATGTATTTTTATCCTGGTTTGTTTGAAACTCAAACTACTCCAGTCCACCCGCCAAGGTGATTTCGCCTCTCTCAACGAGGACTTAATCCACTATAATCAAACTGATTACAAATGCACAACCAAACTGTTGTGACTAGCAATACAATACACAAGCCAACTACAAGTGACTAACACCTCTAAGACTCAACTAGTCCTAGCCCTCTTGAGAAATCTGACCCAATTGGTCTCTCAAGGAACACTTACAAAATTATCTCTTAATAGTAGTGAAACAGAATACTTCTAATAAGCTTTATCATAAACTGTGATTTATCACTAAGATTGTTGCCCAATGCTTAAGATCTACCCACTATACAATATTGGCTTACGAGTATGAAAAAAGTGAGCGTAAGGTTGTTTCTCATGGATCAGTAACCTTTCTTTGAAATAAATGATCTTCTATATATAGCTTTCAGTCTTGACTGTTACTGCCTTGAAGAGAGTGTTTGCATTAATGAAGCGTGTTGGCTTGGTCTTTATGTTTCCAATGTTCTCGTGCACAGTACCACTTGAGTGTGTTAGCCGTCTTAGCATTTAATGACCAACGGTACTGTCAGAACGTGTCTCTGGAAGTTTAAGAGTTTGCTTGCAGCGTTGCCACTTCAGAGTTTACTTTAACTATTCTTCTATCAGAGTATTCTTCACTTCATGTTCATCAGAGTTTGCTTCAGCTTGCATTATCAGATGTTGCTTTCAGCGTGCTTCTTTTCAGATCTTCGCTTCAGCTAGCGTAATCAGAGTTTGCTTAGTATTGCTTTTCCATCAGATTTTGCCTTGGAGTGCTTCCTTCAGAGTTTGCTTTGTATTGTGTAAAATGATGTTTCTCTTTTGATATGCATGAGTCAGAATATCATCTGTATCTAGAGAACATACACATCAGAGTATAAAGTATATTTTACAAAATTTATTTCATTGTTATCATCAAAACTCTAAGATATGATTAGAACCAAACTTTGTTCTAACAATCTCCCCTTTTTTTATGATGACAAAAACAATTCAGAATTTGAAAAAAAAAAATTGTGCAAGAGTGAAAATCTCCCCATGAGATTGATAATCTCCCCCTGAGATTGATATTTCTTCTAATAAAAAATTAATTAAAGATTTTAAGAGCATGAGGGAAACTTCTTAGGATTTTGTTCTTCAGAGCTTTGAGACGTTTTTCTTTCAGAGTTCTTTTAGCAGTTCTTTTCCAGATGATGTTCAAAGCATAGTCTTTTAGAGTCTTGAGGTACCTGCATATCTCTTAAACAAAATAGAGTTTTGTATTTTGTTAGAAATGTTTGAGACTTTGTCCCGTAACTGTTATCATGTATCAGATCAAAATCTTATTTTCTCCCCCTTTTCGTCATTATCAAAAAGTAATAAAAAACAAAAAGATTCAAAAAAAGATTGTATATTGAAGATTCAAAACAGATAGAGGTACAAAACAAAAACAACAGGGAAACTAAAACAATTAAAACTAGGATTGACGAGAGACAAGAGAAAGAAGAAGATTCTTGATTTCATTTGAGGATTCCTCTTGTTTCATCATCTAAGTTCTGATTTCCTTGTTGGTTTCATCCTGTTTGTCCAAACACTCATGGATGGCTTTATTTTCCTTCTTCAGTTAATTCAGAGTATCCATCACCAGCGAAGAAGGAGCAGATGTTGAAGCAACTTCAGAAGATACAACCTTTAGAGCAGAAGCAACTGGGCCAGAGCCTACAACATTGGAGAGGAGGGTGCTTAGATCAATCAGAAGAGTTGGCACTTTCTCAGAGTTATCTTGAGCATAAGTTTGGTGATACAAATTCATTGCCAAGGGATTTTGGTCTGACTCAGAGCCATCTTCAAATTCATCTTCTAAAATTTCCATGTGGTCATCAAGTGGTAACAGAGCATTGGTGATCTGCAGTGGAGACTGTTTGTCCCGGCTATTTACCTCTTCTATCTTGAAGGCATTCAGATACTGGGTGAAATTATCAAGAACCTGAGAATAGCACAAATCTTTCAACTTGAAGGTTTCATCATTGAATTTCCTTCTGAATGTTCCCCTCTGAAAATCACATGCAGCTAGCTCCAGGGTGCTGGCACTGTTTTCCTTCAGCAGGTCTATCCACGTCTGCATTTCTGTTGTAAAATTCTGAAAATGTACAGTAACATCTGGCTGAACAGGTTTTGGGGTTGGTTTGGTAACAACCTTTTTGGTGGATATTATTTGTAGATATCGTAGAGCTTCAGGATTAACTACAGTCTTAAGGAAGTCAGAAGATTCAGAGGGTTCAAGAGGTTCTGATGAGGATGGACTAGAGGTTGGTTCTAGAGAGTTAGGTGATGAGGGTTCAGGTGAGAGAGGTGTGGGAATTGCTGGTGACGTAGGAGGGGTGATGTCAGGAGAGATGATAATGGTGGTTTGGGATGAGTAAGAAGGAATAGGTGCAGGGGATTCATTTACAGCAAAAATGTTCTCAGAGGGAATGATGAAGGACGGAGGTTGTGTAGCCAGAGGCACATTTATTCCTGGTAATCTCCACGAACCATCATACCACTCAGAGGATCTTGGGGATAAAGGTCTGATGGGGGATGTTGGAAGAGGGTTTTCAGCAGGAGTATTTGGATTTTGTTGATGGGGAGCAGAAGTAGATGAGTCAGGTTGAGTTATATGTGGTTGAGGTTGAGATTATGTGGGGACTACAGTATCAAAATTGTATATGTCAGATAGAACTTGATCCATTTGAGGATTATTTTGGAGGGGTTCAGAAGGAATGGTGAGGTCTATGTCTACCTCTATATCTCCTAGAGTTTGGGGTTCATCAGATGGTGATATACGTACATAATCACAAATTGAAATTGTTTCAGTGGATGTACCTGAATATTTCTTCTTCTTCTTTTGAGGACATGCAGAGGGGCCTTCTCCTGCTTGCCTTTTCTTTTGCTTCTGGAGGAAAACATATAGAGCAGGTAAATTTATTCCTTGAAGCCATGCGGGGTCAATGGGAATGCCACTTTCCTTGCAAGCTTCAATGAAGTGCAGAATGATCTCAGGATGATCACCAGAGTTGAAGAGAGGAAAATCTGCAATGGGGATTCTCCTTCTAGTGACAGTTGCTGACACGTATGGAGTAGGTTCTACCAGAAGTTTGTCAATCAGCTTCCTTTTCAGGAGGTTCTTCCCTGTCAGAGCTTTTCTATAAGTGGGCTCCAATTCACCAAACAAGTTGGCGTCCTCTAAATGAGCTATCAGACCATTCTCAGTCAGAATGTCTGAGATTAATCTTCCCAGAGGGATCCAGTTTCTTTTTTACTTAGGGTTTTTGACCCTTTCAGCTTCCCTGGTTTCCTTCACATGCGTCAAGAGGTGGTTAAACAGAAGATAGGGCAGATCAATCTTCACATTTGTGCCAAGACAAAACAGAAGGTATTGTTGGTCATCATTGATGTAGTCAGGAGAACTAGTTTCCCTCCTATGATGAATGAAGCAATGAATGATTCTTGTCCAGATTTTATACTGGTTCTTCAAATCTCTGACTTTGTTGGAAGCTTTCCCAGTAGTAAAGATTTCAGCATAAACTTTGGACATATCCATTCGTCCACTAGAGATTCCAGTAACACCATTTCCTTCAAAGCCTAGAAGTTTCCTGATGAGATTCTCAGTGATGGAAATATATTTTCCCATGACAAATGAAAGGATGACCTTTGGAGAAGCAATGGCATGAATCCAGAATTCCTTAACTAGATGAGGAAACACTGGTCCAACAAGACGATCAAAGAAATTTTTCCACCCTTGGAATTCCACCGCCGGAAACAAGTCAAACCCATTTGCTTTCAGATTATCAAAATCGAATATAAGTTCACTCACCACTCCCAAGCTATCAACAGGTATGAGCGTTATTCTTTCAAGAACGACATATCTTTCTGCATGTTGAGAGCTGCTTGATGAAACATGAATGCTCTCGGAAGGAGATGAAGATGAAGACATTTGGAACGTTTAGGTTTAGGATTTGAAAAAATAGAGAGAGTTTGCACAAAAACACATAGGCGATTGAAACATAGAGAGAGAGAGAGAGAGGAAAAAGTAAAAGAGAGAAATTTTGCAAGGTATTTACAGCTTGAGAGAATTTTGGGTAATAAAACCAATAATGAATTTTTAACGATTAAAATTAAAAAAATAATAATTACTAGCAATTAATGAAATATGACATTAAGGGGAGGCGTGAGATTTTATCAAATCTGAACAGTTACCTAGGAACGGCGTCTCAATAGCAGCACACGCATGTGTGGCCTTTCAGAGTTGAAACACGCGTTCAACTTCTGAGGGTAGCGTGTGACAACTGGTTTAATATAATGAACTTCTGAGCCATTTGTGGGATGAAGCGTTAGACACATTTTAGAGCATGATGAATGGCTTCTGATGTAACTCCTCTTCTCACTTCTGAAGAGTAGTTAATCAGAACATTCATTTCAGAACATTATAGAGACACATATAAAAAAATTCATTCAGGACAAAATTCCATACTGATGTTTTTCAGAATGAAGTTAAATTTATCTTCAGAAAGAGGTTTTGTGAAAATATAATCCCATTGATGTTTTGTGTCTATGAAGTTTAAACTAAGGATTCCTTTCTGAATGTAGTCCCTTATGAAATGGTGTTTAATTTCTATATGTTTTGCCTTAGAATGTAAGATGGGGTTTTTTGAAAGACAAATAGCAGAGGTATTATCACAAAAGATATGAATCTTACTTTCACATAGATGATAATATTCCAACTGGCTCTTCATCCAGATCATCTGAGTGCTACATCCAGCATCAGATATATATTCAACTTCAATGGTTGATAATGCAATAGTGGCTCACTTCTTGCTGTACCATGAGATAATGTTATCACCTAGAAACTGACAGATTCCAGAGATGCTTTTGCGTTCTATTCTATCTCCAGCAAAGTCAACATCACAATAACCTACTAATTTAAAATCTTTGGATCTTTTGTAACACAGTCCAAGGTTAGTAGTACCTTTCAGATACCTCAGAATTTGCTTAACAATAGTTAAGTGAGATTCTCTAGGATCTGATTGGAATCTTGCAAATAAACATATACTGAATAATATATCTGGTCTAGATGCAGTCAGATGGAGAAGAGATCCAATCATATCTTTGTAGAGCTTCTGATCTACTTTCTGACTTACCTAATCTTTTCCCAGAATTCATGTAGGATGCATTAGTGTCTTTGCTTCTTTACTTTCTGAAAGCTGGAATTTCTTCAGAAGTTCTTTAACATACTTTGTCTGATGTATGTAACTAACTTCAGGAGTTTGATTAATTTGAATTCTCAGAAAAAATTTCAGTTCTCCCATCATGCTCATCTCAACTTCAGCCTGCATAGACTCAGCAAATTCTCTTCCAAGAGATACATTAGAAGTTCCAAATATAATATCATCTACATATATTTGACAAATTAAAATGTCATTTTTAAATGTTTTTCTAAATAAGGTCATGTCCACTTTCCCTCTGGAAAATTCTTTTCTAAAAGAAAATTACTCAGACGTTCATACCAAGCTCTGGGAGTTTGTTTCAGACCGTACAGAGACTTTTTCAGTTTAAAAACATGTTCTGGAAATTTTGGGTCATCAAAACCTGGAGGTTGGTGGACATAAACTTCTCCTTCTATGTAACCATTTAAAAATGCACTTTTAACATCCATTTGATATAATGAGATGTTGTGTTGAACAGCAAAAGAAATTAACAATCTAATTCATTCTAACCTGGCAACTGGGGCAGAGGTTTCATTATAATCAATTCATTCTTGTTGACTGTAACCTTGTGCAACCAGTCGTGCCTTGTTTCTGGCAACCTCTCCTTGCTCATTCAACTTATTTCTGAAAACCCATTTTGTTCCTATGATATTAAATCCTTTGTGCTTTGGAACTAGATCCCACACATCATTTCTTGAAAATTGATTTAGTTCTTTTTGCATAGCTAGGATCCAATCGTTGTCTTGCAGAGCTTCCTCTATTGAGGTTGGTTCAATTAGAGATACCAAACCAAATAGTGATTCTTCAATGTTTCTGAAAGAAGATCTTGTTCTGATGGGATCTTCTTTCTTTCCAATAATCACATTTTCTGGATGTGCTGATGTGATTCTGGGGAATTTATTCTGTGAGGGTTGTTCAGAAATTCTTAGATTTTCTAGAGTATTTTCAATAGGAGGGTCTTCTGAGATGTCCTTTGCTTCTGAATCTTCAAAGTTTGTAAGATGATCTTCTGTACCTGCAGGATTTTCATTCTGCTTTGGCTTTTGTTGGCCAAGCTTATCATCAAATCTGACTTTGATTGATTATTTAACAATCAGAGTTTCTGTGTTGTATACCCTATAGCCTTTTGAGCGTTCAGAGTATCCAAGCAGAAAGCACTTTTGTGCCTTAGAATCAAACTTGTTCAGATTATCTTTAGTATTCAGAATATAGCAAGTGCATCCAAAAGGATGGAGATATAAAATGTTGGGTTTTCTGTTTTTCCATAATTCATAAGGAGTCTTTTCAAGAATAGGTCTTATAGAGACTCTATTTTGAATATAACATGTTATGTTCACTGCTTCTGCCCAGAAGTGTTTAGCCATATTAGTTTCATTAATCATGGTTCTGGCCATTTCTTGAAAAGTTCTATTCTTTCATTCTACAACTCCATTTTGTTAGGGAGTTCTAGGACAAGAGAAATCATGAGAAATGCCATTTTCTTTAAAAACTTTTCAAAATAATGGTTTTCAAATTCTCCTCCATGATCACTTCTAACTTTTATGATTCTAAAATCTTTTTCATTTTTCACTTGGATGCAGAAGTCGAAGAACACAGAATGTGACTCGTCCTTGTGTTTTAAAAACTTAACCCATGACCACCTGTTGTAGTCATCAACAATGACCAATCCATAATTCTTGCCTCTGATGGATGCATTTTTAACTGCTCCAAACAGATCAATGTAAAGAAGTTCCAATGGCCTATAAGAAGAAACAACATTTTTTTACTTAAAAGAAGGTTTTGAAAATTTTCCTTTCTGACATGCTTCACAAAGAGCTTCTGAGTTGAACTTCAGATTGGGAAGTCCCCTGACTAGATTGAGTTTGTTAATTTGAGATATTCTTCTCATGCTAACATGTCCCAATCTTCTGTGCGAGACCCATTGCTCATCGCTAATAGACATAAGGCATTTTACATTTTGAGATTTAAGATCAGAAAGATTAATTTTATAGATGTTTTCTTTCTCTTGCCAGTAAAAAGGATCGATCCATCTTTTTTACTAACAGTTCTACAAGATTTTTGATTAAAGATTATGTCATAACCGTTGTCACTTAATTGACTTATGGATAGCATGTTATGCGCTAATCCTTCCACCAACAGAACATTAGTTATAGGAGGAAGGTTACCGTTTCCAATGGTTCCAGAACCAATAATCTTTCCTTTTTGATTTCCTCCAAATTTGACATCTCCTCCAGATTTAAGTTCCGGACTTTAGAACATAGACTTTCTTCGCGTCATATGTCGTGAGCATCCAGAGTCCAGATACCAAGATTGGTGTTTCAACAGAGCTGTTAAGGATATCTGCAACATAGATTATTTTCTCCTTAGATACCCATTTCTTTTTGGGTCCTTTTTGGTTAGAGTTTCTAAAGTTCTGGTTGAACTTTGATTTTGCATAAGAATTTTCAGAGTGAGAAGTGTATTTGATATCATGTGTATGCCCAAAACTAAATTGTTTGTGTAGTGATTTATATGTGATAACCATTTCCTTAACAGGCTTAGGTTTATATATTTCTTTCCTTTTGGGAGCTTTATATCCAATACCTCTTCTGTCATTTTTCCACTAACACCATAGATCATTGAAGCCATTCTGCTTCTATCTATGCTTTTAGCAAGAAACGTTTGAAAACTAGAGTCATATTCTTTAAGAATATCTTTTGAACTTGAAGCAGAATTTGAAATAGAGATCTTTTGAAATTTTTGAACTTCCTCTTTGAGTTTAAAAATGTTTTCTTTAAGTTCAGAGTTTTCTGTTTCAAGTTTCTCAAAATCAGATGCAAGATTCTTTTTGAGTTTCTTGTATTTGATTTTGAGTTTACTGTATTTTTCAAGAAGTTCGGATAAGCTTTCAACAAGTTCAATTCTAGAAAATTCAGAGAATACCTCTTTTGGTTATGAATCAGAGTCTGAGTCATCGTCATCTACTGTGGTAGCCATAAATGCTAGAATAGCGTGTTCATCTTCTGAGTCAGATTTAGCTTTAGAAGATTCTGAATCATCCCATGTGGCCATCATGCCTTTCTTTCTTCCAAACTTTTTATTTGTTCTTTCTCTTTGCAGCTTAGGACAATCACTTATGTAGTGTCCTAGTTCTTTACATTCATAGCAGACTATATCTCTCCTGCTTGACTTCTTATGTCCAGAAGATTCTGGTTTATCTTCTGACCTCTTGTAGTTTCTGAACTTCTTTTTTCTGTGCTTACACATCTGGTTGATCCTTCTGGAGAGAAGAGATAACTCATCTTCTTCTGATGCAGAATCTTCAGAGTTTCCTTCTTCTGCCTGAAAAGCATTAGTTTCACATTTTTAATAGATTTCAGGGTGACAGACTTACCTTTCCTCTGAGGCTCATGTTTATCAAGTTCTATCTCGTGACTTCTTAAAGCACTGATAAGTTCTTCAAGGGATACATCATTCAAATCTTTTGACACTTTGAATGCACTAACCATAGGTGCCCATCTTCTGGGTAAACTTTTGATAATTTTCTTAACATGGTCTGCCTTGGTGTATCCTTTGTTCAGAACTCTCAGGCCAGCAATCAGAGTTTGGAATCTCGAGAACATAGCTTCAATAGACTCATTTTCTTCCACTTTAAAGGCTTCATACTTCTGGATGAGAGCCAGAGCTTTTGTCTCTTTTACTTGAGCATTTCCTTCATGAGTCATTTTTAGATACTCAAACATGTCATGTGTTGTATCTCTGTTGGTGATTTTCTCATATTCAGTTTTAGAGATAGCGTTCAGAAAGATGTTTCTGGATCTGTGGTGATTCTTGAAATCTAACTTCTGTTGTTTATCCATGTTCTTTTTGTCAATCTTGTTTCCGTCTTTGTCTTCTGGATGAGTGTACCCTTATAGGACCAAATCCCATAGATCAGCATCATGACCTAGAAATAAACTTTCTAGTCTATCCTTCTAGTATTCAAAATCTTCTCCATCAAACACAGGAGGTTTGGTGCAGTTGTTGTTGTTTTGTTCAGTTGCCATAGTGTTTTCCTTCTGGATCTTTTTCTGACATTGTTAGGTGTTTGCACCCAGAACTAGAGCTCTGATGCCAATTTAAGGGTGAGAAAACACTTAGAAGGGGGGGTTGAATAATTTTTTCCTTTTTCTCGCGCAATACTAATGGAAGGACACAGGTATTTTTATCCTCGTTCGTTTGAAACTCAAACTACTCCAGTCCACCCGCCAAGGTGATTTCGCCTCTCTCAATGAGGACTTAATCCACTATAATCAAACTGATTACAAACGCACAACTAAACTATTGTGACTAACAATACAATTCACAAGCCAACTACAAGTGAATAACACCTCTAAGACTCAACTAGCCCTAGCCCTCTTGAGAAATCTGACGCAATTGGTCTCTCAAGGAACACTTACAAAATTATCTCTTAATAGTAGTGAAACAGAATGCTTCTAATAAGCTTTATCACAAACTGTGATTTATCACTAAGATTGTTGCCCAATGCTTAAGATCTACCCACTATACAATATTGGTTTACAAGTATGAAAACAATGAGCGTAAGGTTGTTTCTCGTGGATCAGTAACCTTTCTTTGAAACAAATGATCTTTTATATATAGCTTTCAGTCTTGATCATTACTGCCTTGAAGAGAGTGTTTGCATTAATGAAGCGTGTTGGCTTGGTCTTTATGTTTCCAATGTTCTCGTGCATAGTACCACTTGAGTGCGTTAGCCGTCTTAGCATTTAATGACCAACGGTACTGTCAAAACTTGTCTCTGGAAGTTTAAGAGTTTGCTTGCAGCGTTTCCACTTCAGAGTTTACTTTAACTATTCTTCTATCAGAGTATTCTTCACTTCATGTTCATCTTAGTTTTCTTCAGCTTGCATTATCAGATGTTGCTTTCAGCGTGCTTCTTTTCAGATCTTCGCTTCAGCTAGCATAATCAGAGTTTGCTTAGTATTGCTTTTCCATCAGAGTTTACCTTGGAGTGCTTCCTTCGGAGTTTGCTTTGTCTTGCGTAAAATGATGTTTCTCTTTTGATATGCATGGGTCAGAATATCATATGTATCTAGAGAACGTAAACATCAGAGTATAAAGTATATTTTACAAAATTTATTTCATTGTTATCATCAAAACTCTAAGATATGATTAGAACCAAACTTTGTTCTAACACAAAAAAGACCTTACACTACACAAAAATTACATAAATTAAAAGCTTGGGAACAACGTGAAAAGGTTTGGAAATGACACATATACCAACTAACAAATATATGAACTAGTAGTTTCCTTTTGTTCACATGGTGGCAACTGGTGTTGCAGCTGGTGGGTGTGGCACCCATAGAAGGTGCTTAACAGAGGAAAAATGGCACAGTGGGGCATCCCCATGCTTCATTCCAAGTAAGTCAAATATAAAATGATTAGGATTCATGTCAGATGTGTCTAGGTGGAAAATTACCAAAGCATTCATTATGTCTCCATCTTCACCCTTTAGAAGAACTTTGAAGATCTTACTCCTTATGTCTAGGTAGTGGAAATAGTAAAGACCATATAGGTAAGGCCTAGGGTGACATGTTACCCATTTTGGAGAATAGATGTCTGTTGAGATATCTAAAATAATGTAGTTCTGCAAACGTGCACCTGATGGTGTGGGATGGCTAGTCGAGTGAGTGCTATAATTAGTTTCGGCACCAATAACACTGTGAATAAATTCAAGCATGGAATCTAAAGAAGTTGGACAAGCCTTGGTCTCCTCTTTATTGGGTGGAAACTCACATTGATTAAATATGTCTATCATGTATTGACCTTGAGTAGAATCTTTTGTGAGTGAGAATAGATCTAGAAGGCTTGGAACTTGTGATTTGGAAAAAGGGATGTCATCGGAAACTTTTCTTGGAAAGAACTTAGCATATTCTCGGAGAGGTAATTGAAAGGTCATTACACTCCCTACATAAAGATCTTCTATACCGAAAAAAGCTACCTTGAAGGCTTCTGTATGGTCAACTTTTGAAGATAGTTGTGTTTGATTCCGCCAAATCTTGTCTAATTTTCACTTGGTTCTCAACATACGAGTCTTTCAACCAACCATCAAGGTATGCTTTCTTGAAATTCGGGATAGATTTTGCATTGTCAACATGGTTATCTTTCGACCAGCCATCAAGGTAAACTTGGTTGGAGTTAGGGGAGAAATTTTCTTTCTCAACTTATGTATCTTTCAACCATCCATCAAGGTAAACTTGGTTGGAGTCAAGTGTCGATTTTTCTTTCAAACCCCTGTTATCTTTCAACCATCCATCAAGGTCAACTTGATTGGAGTTAGGGTTAAATTTTGCATTTTCGGCTCGAGTATCTTTCACCCATCCATCAACGTAAACTTGGTTGGAGTTAGGGTTGGCATTTGCTTTCTCAGCTCTATTATCTTTCAACCATCCATCAAGGTAAACTTGGTTGGAGTCAGGGTTGGATTTTGCTTTCTCAGTCCGAGTATCTTTCAACCATACATCAGCGTAAGCTTCGTTGGAGTCAGTATTGACTTTTGCTTTCTCAGCCCTAGTATCTTTCAACCATCCATCAAGGTAAACTTGGTAGGATCCAGGGTTGAATTTTACATTTTGGGCTCGAGTACATTTCAACCATCCATCAAGGTAAACTTGGTTGGAGTCAGGGTCGGCTTTTTCTTTCTTGACTCTAGTATCTTTCAAACATCCATCGAGGTAAACTTGGTTGAATTCAGGGTTGGCTTTTGCTTTCTCAGTCTGAGTAACTTTCAACCATCCATCAAGGTAAACTTGGTTGGAGTCATGGTTGGATTTTACTTTCTCAGCCCGAGTATCTTTCAACCATCCATCAAGGTAAACTTGGTTGGAGTCAGGGTTGGTTTTGTTTTCTCATCCTTAGTATCTTTCAACCATCCATCAAGGTATACTAGGTTGGAGTCAGGGTTTAACTTTGCGTTTTTGGCTCGGGTATCTTTCAACCATCCATCAAGGTAAACTTGGTTGGAATCAGGGTTGGCTTTATCTTTCTCGACTCAAGTATCTTTCAACCATCCATCGAGGTAAACTTGGTTGGAATCAAGGTTGGCTTTTGCTTTCTCATCCCGAGTATCTTTCAACCATCCATCAAGGTAAACTTGGTTGGAGTCAGGATTGGCTTTTTCTTTCTCACTTCTAGTATCTTTCAACCATCCATTAAGGTAAACTTGGTTGGAGTCATGGAAGGATTTTTGGTTCTTCAGTGGAGTGTTTTTGAGCCAACCATCAAGGTAAGGCTGACCAACTTGGTTCATATATCTTGCAAAGCTTCCATGGTCATTCTATTATACAATTGAATAATAAGATATTAATGAGGGACAAATTAATTATATGTTTTAGATGGTATATATAATTAAAAAAGCACCAATGAGTATATTGAAAGAAATATTCATTATGTATATATAATAGATACATAATATGAAACATTAAAAGTAGGAAGTAGAATATTTTCAATTTCATTCCAGCAAAAAAAAAAACACAATTTTGTTAAATCATATAGAGCAACTCGATTATAAACGTGTTGAATGCTTGGAATCAACTTAGGAGAAGGAATTTAGAAGTACGCATTAAATTAAATTCAACATGCATGTACAATTGCAATAAAGATGAAAATGATAGATTATGAATATGTTGAATTTTATTTAGTTTAACATGCATGTACAATTGCAAAACAAAGATGAAGATGATAGAATATTATGAGAAATAGATGATGAAAAATGTAAGTGTAAAAGGTAGAATCATGTATACAACGTGTTAGTAACTTACAATCAACAAGAGTAGGAGAAACATAACAACTCTTTGTGCCATTTTTGTATGTTATGTTATTGTGAGAAAATAGTTTTACAGTGGAAGATGCATTAGAGTAGAAGTGAGTTGAGTTATTTATAGGCAAGTAAGAGGAAAAATAGAACAAATAACCAACACATTAAGACTTTGTTTGGAAAAATCATTTTTTTAACTTTATAGTTTATTTCTCATAATTTATACCTTCTTATGTTAAAAAAATTTCTTTGGTAACTGCTATTTTGCTATGTGCCGATAGATAATTTTTATCAATTTATAGCTTATTTTGAAAAGTTATTTCAAATTGTTTATAGTTTCTTTTTTTTTCTTCCAATTCTATCATTGTAATTTTATAAATTTAAGTTGATGTCTTATCAGTCATATATAATACAGTAAAACATAGTTGTTAAATTTTTGTAAACCTGGGTAAAAATTGGTCATTATTATTAATTATTAATTATCACATGAAACTCATACACAAAAGTGATATATACTCCATACTTATGAAATTTTAGATTGGAATTTGACTGATATGTTCAACTTAATACTATCATTGTAGGTTGATTATGTCTTTAAGATTGTAATTTCTCTATTTAATTAGTTGTATTTGGACAAGTAATAAACATTAAAATTGTAACAAAATCACAATAATAGTCTAATTTGATTAAAATTCAACTGTTATATGTTTATTTGTGCTCAACATTAAGGGGAAACTTTATGCTATGTTTATGGATTTTGTGCCTGAGGACAGACTAGTATACATCATGAATCATGTCTCATGTTTTGGTTATTGTAATGAGTTGTATCAATATTGTGTTATCAAGTTCTAGGAATTCGCAACATAAACAACAATGAATTTAGGCTTTAAGACAAAATAGTGTCACAAGAAACTCTTAAAATTGTGTGTAGAGTTTGCATGTTTAAATAGTTAATGTGAAGGGCCAAGCTGATAGAACTAAATGAATGGGCTTGCATGTTCTTAAGTAAGTTGGAATAATAAGTTAAAAAAAGAAGAAGTTGTAGTACATTATATTATTACTCTAAAGCAGCATTTTTTGGTGTAACGTTAAATTGTCAAACTTTGTTATCAATAAATGATTATAAGCCAAAAGCTTGAAAGGTTTGAAGTTGTATTTTTTAATCAAATTTTTGAAGTAGTACTAGTATTAAAAAAGATGAAACATATGACTAACAAACTATAAACTATATACTCTGTACTACATAGATGAAACATATGACTAACAATCTATGTAATTCGTACTAAAATTGATAGAGATTGAAACAAAAAATGTTAGTAATATAAAATCAAAAACACATTTTTCTTACTAATCGATTTTATATTTGGTTATGATTTTAAAGTCTGATTGTTTTCAAATTCTATTTTTTTTATAAAAAGAAACATTCCTAGAATACATAATAATATTGCCACCATTATAATCCATTTGTATGAGCAATAACACCAATTTTAACTGCAAAAGTATATATATTAGCCCAGAGTAGATAAAAGTTATTTTTCACTGTGGTTTGATTTTTGACTATTTTGTTTAGGTTTTGTTCGATAAAAATATGGAAAATTAGTTGATAGTTTATATTTGATGAGTGATAGTTTATACTCCCTCCGTCCCAAATTATAAGACGCTTTGGAGAAAAAAATGTATCCCAAATTATAAGTCACTTTACAATTCCAATGCAACATTAATGATGTTTTCCTAATAAACCTTCTATTATTTATTTCTATTTCTTCATTCAGTTCTCTTAATTTCCTTTTCCTCTATAATTAATGAAGGACAATTATGTAAAGTCATACATAATTTCTCTTTCTCATACAACAATTATTACTTTTCTTAATAAGTACGAAATACCCAAAACATCTTATAATTTGAGACGGAAGAAGTAATTGATAACTAATGATTACTATTTGATTACTTAATTAAAGTGTTAAATAAAATTAGTTGTTCAATTAGTTATTAAATGTAAAATAATATAAAATATATTTAATATATAATTATTTTATTTTAAATTAAAATAAATTATAAAAAAAAAGTAAATTTTAATTAAAATAATAAAAATAAAAGTCAAATAAAATTGATAAGTTAAGATAAAATGCTATTTGAAAGTGTTTGGAAAATTAAGTTATAAATTAGAAAAATAAATTATAAATTCGTAATGAATTTTTTTTATCAAATATACCTTTTCCTCTTATGTGTTTATAACTATAATATAAAAAAAAATTCAAAGTGAAATAGTTCTTATATTTTGACTATTTATAAAGAATGCAATTATATAATAGAATACAAATAAATGTTAAAATTTTTATTAAAATTATAAATCAATTTATAATTAAAATAAATTGTTTTTAAAAGTAAAATAGCATTAAAATAAATTGTTGTGTTTGTTTCAAGTTATTAAAATAAATTTTTATAACTCTGATTATTTATTTTTTTAATATATTTGTTTCCAATTTAGTTGTTTTCCACGAAGTAAGTAAGTAGCCATATTTCAGAGTATGTAACTTATGTCCAATGTGCATGACACAATAATACTTGGTGTTTTACTGTTATGTATTCTATAAAATTACTATACTGTTCTGAATTTGTATAAGGCAGGGTTTGACACACTCTTATGTTAATACATATAAGTCATTATTCTCCGGTTTACCCTTTTCCCTATGACCTTTTTTGGTGTTTTTGGTCCATGTAAGACACGGGTAAAATGAAATTTATCGAGATCTGTAGAATTTGAAACTCTGATTTTGTAGGTGTGTCATGGAGACATATGAGACATAATATTCATATTTGTGAGAATCATCTTGGTTGTGTGATAGATATGTATACTTATTTTTAGTGTGTTAAGGCTTATTACGCGACACTCGTTTACGTGGTTGCTTTCCTAAAGTATCATTGCTTGGTACTCTTAGTTCATATGTGTTTCTTTCAATCCACCAAAAAATCAAATATTTTTCTCTTCCATTTCCCAATATATGTTGATTGTTATATAATGCACCAACAGTGTCTGCTATCTTTAGATTTGGTTCATTTTTGCTAATTTACTGTTTTTATACCAAGAGAAATCTCTATATGTTAGGTTTGGTTTATTTGAATTATTTGAGTGTGGTTCTCATTCAACCTACCAAGTATAAGGTCCTTGAAACTCTTTAAAATAGAGCTTCATGCCTTCATTGATATATTTGAATATTTGGACCCTCATTTCAGTAGTAAAACATATTACTAGATTTGGTCATTCAATAATTTGTCCATATAAAAACTATTATTTTACTGTCATTCTCATGATTTAACAAGGATAGAAACTAGTTATGTATATAATTAAGTTAAGGCAATTTCTCATATTCATTATTACAAACAGAATTACAATATAAAAGATAACACACATAATAACAGTAGGATAATGGTTCTAAACTCCCAACTTAGAGGTCTAACAAACAACTAACTAAATTGACGGCATCTCAATCCTTAACATTGTAAATTGAGGTTTATTTTAAACACAATTACCTAGTTCATAGATACAAGACTTTACTTAGTGCACAAACAAGCTTAGGAACAACATGAAAAGGTTTGGAAAGGACATATATACCAACTAACAAAGATATGAACTAGTAGTTTCCTTTTGTTCACATGGTGGCAACTGGTGTTGCAGCTGGTGGGCATGGCACCCATAGAATGTGCTTAACAGGGAAAAATGGCACAGTGGAGCATCCCCAGGCTTCATTCCAAGTAAGTCAAATATAAAATGATTAGGATTCATGTCAGATGTATCTAGGTGGAAAATTCCCAAAGCATTCATTATGTCTCCATCTTCACCCTTTAGAAGAACTTTGAAAATCTTACTCCTTATGTCTAGGTAGTGGCAATAGTAAAGAGCATATGGGTAAGGCTTAGGGTGACATGCTACCCATTTAGGAGCATAGATATCTTTTGAGATATCCAAAACAGTGTAGTTCTGCAAACGTGCACCTGATGGTGTGGGATGGCTAGTCGCGTGAGTGCTATAATTAGTTTCGGAACCAATAACACTGTGAACAAATTCAAGCATGGACTCTAAAGAAGTAGGAAAAGCCTTGGTCTCCCCTTTATTGGGTGGAAACTCACATTGATTAATTACGTCTATCATGTCTTAACCTTGAGGAGAATCTTTTGTGAGTGAGAATAGATCTAGAAGGCTTGGAACTTGTGATTTGGAAAAAGGAATGTCATCGGCAACTTTTCTTGGCAAGAACTTAGCATATTCTCGGATAGGAAATTGCAAGGCCGTTACACTCCCTACATAAAGATCTTCTATACCGAAAAAAGCTACCTTGAAGGCTTCTGTATGATCAACTTTCGAAGATAGTTTTCCATTTGATTCCCCTAAATCTTGTCCAATTTTCACTTGGTTCTCAGCATGCGAGTCTTTCAACCAACCATCAAGGTATGCTTGCTTGAAATTTGGGATAGATTTTGCATTGTCATCATGGTTATCTTTCAACCAGCCGTCAAGGTAAACTTGGTTGGAGTTAGGGGAAGAATTTTCTTTCTCAGCTTGTATATCTTTCAACCATCCATCAAGGTAAACTTGGTTGGAGTCAAGTGTCGATTTTTCTTTCAAATCCCAGTTATCTTTCAACCATCCATCAAGGTAAACTTGGTTGGATTTAGGGTTAGATTTTTCATTTTCGGCCTGGGCATCTTTCAACCATCCATCAAGGTAAACTTGGTTGGAGTTAGGGTTGGATTTCACTTTTACGGCTCGAGTGTCTTTCACCCATCCATCAACGTAAACTTGGTTGGAGTTAGGGTTGGCGTTTGCTTTCTCAGCTTTATCATCTTTCAACCATCCATCAAGGTAAACTTGGTTGGATTTAGGGTTGGATTTTTCTTTCTCAGCCCGAGTATCTTTCAACCATCCATCGAGGTAAATTTGGTTGGAGTCAGTGTTGACTTTTTCTTTCTCAGCCCGAGTATCTTTCAACCATCCATCAAGGTAAACTTGGTTGGAGCCAAGGTTAGATTTTGCGTTTTAGGCTCGGGTATCTTTCAACCATCCATCAAGGTAAACTTGGTTAGAGTCAGGGTTGGCTTTTTCTTTCTCGACTCTAGTATCTTTCAACCATCCATCGAGGTAAACTTGGTTGAAATCAGGGTTGGATTTTTCTTTCTCAGCCCGGGTATCTTTCAACCATCCATCAAGGTAAACTTGGTTGGAGTCTGGGTTGGCTTTTGCTTTCTCAGCCCGAGTATCTTTCAACCATCCATCAAGATAAACTTGGTTAGAGTCAGGGTTGGCTTTTGCTTTCTCAGTCCGAGTATCTTTCAACCATCCATCAAGGTAGACTAGGTTGAACTCGGGGTTTAACTTTGCATTTTTGGATCCGGTATCTTTCAACCATCCGTCAAGGTAAACTTGGTTGGAGTCAGGGTTGGCTTTTTCTTTCTCGACTCTAGTATCTTTCAACCATCCATCGAGATAAACTTGGTTGGAATCAAGGTTGGCTTTTGCTTTCTCAGTTCGAGTATCTTTCAACCATCCATCAAGGTAAACTTGGTTAGAGTCAGGATTGACTTTTGCTTTCTCAATTCTAGTATCTTTCAACCATCCATCAAGGTAAACTTGGTTGGAGTCATGAAAGGATTTTTGGTTCTTTAGTAGAATGTTTTTGAGCCAACCATCAAGGTAAGACTGATCAACTTGGTTCATATCTCTTGCAAAGCTTCCATGGCCATTCTACAAAACAATTGAATAATGGGATATTAATGAGGGACAAATTAATTATATGTTTTAGATGGTATATATGATTAAAAAAGCACCAATGTGTATATTGAAAGAAATATTCATTATGTATATATAATAGATACATAATTTGAAACATTAAAAGTAGGAAGTATAATATTTTCAATTTCATTCCAGCAAAAAAAACACAATTTTTTTAAATCATATAGAGCAACTCGATTATAAATGTGTTGAATGCTTGAAAACAACTTAGGAGAAGGAATTTAGAAGTACGCATTAAATTAAATTCAACATGCATGTACAATTGCAATAAATATGAAAATGATATATTATGAATATGTTGAATTTTATTTAGTTTAACATGCATGTACAATTGCAAAACAAAGATGAAGATGATAGAATATTATGAGAAATAGATGATGAAAAATGTAAGTGTAAAAGGTAGAATCATGTATGCAAAGTGTTATTAACTTACAATCAACAAGAGTAGGAGAAACATAACAACTCTTTGTGCCATTTTTGTATGTTATGTTAGTGTGAGAAAATAGTTTTACTGTGAAAATTACATTAGAGTAGAAGTGAGTTGAGTTATTTATAGGCAAGTAAGAGGAAAAATAGAACAAATATCCAACACATTAAGACTTTGTTTGACAAAATCGTTTTTTAACATTATAGTTTATTTCTTATAATTTATACCTTCATATGTTTAAAAAATTTCTTTGGTAACTGTTATTATTCCATGTGCTCATAGCTAATTTTTATCAATTTATAGCTTATTTTGAAAAGTTATTTCAAATTGTTTATAGTTTCTTTTTTTTTCTTCCACTTCTATCACTGTAATTTTATAAATTTAAGTTGATGCCTTATCAGTCATATGTAATACAATAAAACATAGTTGTTAAATTTGTCTAAACCTGAGTAAAAATTGGTCATTACTATCGATTATTAATTATCCCATGAAACTCGTACACAAAAGTGATATATACTCCATAGTTATGAAATTTTAAATTGGAATTTGATTGATATGTTCAACATAATACTATCATTGTAGGTTGATTATGTCTTTAGGATTATAGTTTCTCTATTTAATTAGTTGTATTTGGACAAGCAATAAACTTTAAAATTGTTTAAAAATCACAATAATAGTCTAATTTGGTTAAAATTCACCTGTGCTATGTTTATTGGTGCTCAATATTAGGGGGGAAACTTTATCCTATGTTTATGGATTTTGTTCCTGTGGACAGACTAGTATACATCATGAATCATGTCTCATGTTTTGGTTATTGTAATGAGTTGTAGCAATCTTGTGTTATCAAGTTCTAGGAATTTGCAACATAAACAACAATGAATTTAGACTTTAAGACAAAATAGTGTCACAAGAAACTCTTAAGATAGTGTATAGAGTTTGCATGTTTAAATAGTTGATGTGACAAGTCAAGCTGACACAACCAAATGTATGAACTTGCGTGTTCTTAAGTAAGCTGACATAATAAGTTAAAAAAAGAAATTGCAGTATATTATATTAATACTCTAAAGCAGTATTTTTTGGTGTAACGTTAAATTGTCAAATTTTATTATCAATAAATGATTATAAGCCAAAATCTTGAAAGGTTTGAAGTTGTATTTTTTTATCAAATTTTTGAAGTAGTACTAGTATTAAAAAAGATGAAACATATGACTAATAAACTATAAACTATATATTCCGTACTATATAGATGAAACATATGACTAACAATCTATGTAATTCGTACTACAATTGATAGAGATTCAAACAAAAAATGTTAGTAATATAAAACCAAAAACACATTTTTCTTAATAATCGATTTTATATTTGGTTATGATTTTAAAGTCTGATGGTTTTCATATTCTATTTTTTTATAAATAAAAAAAATAAAAAAATTCCTAGCATACATAATAATATTGCCACCATTATAATCCATTTGTATGAGCAATAACACCAATTTTAACTGCAAAAGTATGTATATTAACCCAAAGTAGATAAAAGTTATTTTTCACTGTGGTTTGATTTTTGACTATTTTGGTTAGGTTTTGTTCGGAAAAAAATATTGAAAATTAGTTGATAGTTTATATTTGATGAGGGTTAGTTTATACTTCCTCCGTCCCAAATTCTAAGACGCTTTGGAGAAAAAATGTGTCCCAAATTATAAGTCACTTTACAATTCCAATGTAACATTAATGATGTTTTTCCTAATATACCTTCTATTATTTATTTCTCTTTCTTCATTCAGTTCTCTTAATTTATTTTTCGTCTATAATTAATGAATGACAATTGTGTAAAGTCATACATAATTTCTTTCTCATACAACAATGATTACTTTTCTTGTTACGTACGAAATGCCCAAAACATCTTATAATTTGAAACGGAATGAGTAATTGATAACTAATGATTACTATTTGATTACTTAATTAAAGTGTTAAGTAAAATTAGTTGTTCAATTAGTTATTAAATGTAAAATGACATAAAAGATATTTAATATATAATTATTTTATTTTAAATTAAAATAAATTATAAAAGAAAGTAAATTTTAATTAAAATAATAAAAATAAAAGTCAAATAAAAATGATTAGTAAAGATAAAATGCTATTTGAAAGTGTTTGGAAAATTAAGTTATAAATTAGAAAAATAAATTATAAATTCGTGATGAATTTTTTTTTATCAAATTTATCTTTTCCTCTTATGTGTTTATAACTATAATATAAAAAAAATTGAAAGTGAAATAGTTCTTATATTTTGACTATTTATAAAGAATGCAATTATATAATAGAATAAAATAAATGTTAATATTTTTAATAAAATTATAAATCAATTTATAATTAACATAAATTGTTTTTAAAAGTAAAATAGCATTAAAATAAATTGTTGTGTTTGTTTAAAGTTGTTAAAATAAATTTTTATAACTCTGATTATTTATGTTTTTAATATATCTATTTCTGATTTAGTTGTTTTCCACGCAGTAAGTAAGTAGTCGTATTTTAGAGTATGTAACTTATGTGCAATGTGCATGACACAATAATACTTGGTGCTTTATTGCTATGTATTCTAAAAAATTACTACACTGTTATGAATTTGTATAAGGCAGGGTTTGACACACTCTTATGTTAATACATATAAGTCATTATTTTCCGGTTTACCCTTTTCCCTGTGACCCTTTTTGGTGTTTTTGTTCCATGTAAGACACGGGTAAAATGAGGTTTATCGAGATCTGTAGAATTTGAAACTCTGATTTTGTAGGTGTGTCATAGAGACATATGAGACATAATATTCATATTTGTGAGAATCATCTTGGTTGTGTGATAGATATGTATGCTTATTTTTAGTGTGTTGAGGTTTATTCCGCGACACTCGTTTACGTGGTTGCTTTCTTAAAGTATCATTGCTTAGTACTCTTAGTTCATATGTGTTTCTTTCAATCAACCAAAAAATCAAATATCTTTCTCTTCCATTTCCCAATATATGTTGATCGTTATATAATGCACCAACAGTGTCTGCTATCTTTAGATTTGGTTCAATTTTGCTAATTTACTATTTTTTTATACCAAGAGAAATCTCTATATGTTAGGTTTGGTTTATTTGAATTATTTGAGTGTGGTTCTCATTCAACCTACCAAGTATAAGGTCCTTGAAACTCTTTAAAATAGAGCTTCATGCCTTCATTGATATATTTAAACATTTGGACCCTCATTTCAGTAGTACAACATATTACTAGATTTGGTCATTCAATAATTTGTCCATATAAAAACTATTATTTTACTGTCATTCTCATGATTTAACAGGGATAGAAACTAGTTATGTATATAATTAAGTTAAGGCAATTTCTCATATTCATTATTACAAACAGAATTACAATATAAAAGATAACACGCATAATAACAGTAGGATAATTGTTCTAAACTCCTTACTTAGAGGTCTAACAAACAACTAACTAAAGTGACGGCATCTCAATCCTTAACATTGTAAATTGAGGTTTATTTTAAAACACAATTACCTAGTTCATAGATACAAGACCTTACTTAGTGCACAAACAAGACCTTACACTACATAAAAATTACATCAATTAAAAGCTTAGGAACAACATGAAAAGGTTTGGAAATGACACATATACCAACTAACAAAGATATGAACTAGTAGTTTCCTTTTGTTCACATGGTGGCAACTGGTGTTGCAGCTGGTGGGCGTGGCACCCATAGAATGTGCTTAACAGGGAAAAAATGGCACAGTGGAGCATCCCCAGGCTTCATTCCAAGTAAGTCAAATATAAAATGATTAGGATTCATGTCAGATGTATCTAGGTGGCAAATTCCCAAAGCATTCATTATGTCTCCATCTTCACCCTTTAAAAGAACTTTGAAAATCTTACTCCCTATGTCTAGGTAGTGGCAATAGTAAAGAGCATATGGGTAAGGCCTAGGGTGACATGCTACCCATTTAGGAGCATAGATATCTTTTGAGATATCCAAAACAGTGTATTTCTTCAAACGTGCACCTGATGGTGTGGGATGGCTAGTCGAGTGAGTGCTATAATTAGTTTCGGAACCAATAACACTATGAACAAATTCAAGCATGGACTCTAAAGAAGTAGGACAAGCCTTGGTCTCCCCTTTATTGGGTGGAAACTCACATTGATTAATTACGTCTATCATGTCTTGACCTTGAGGAGAATCTTTTGTGAGTGCGAATAGATCTAGAAGGCTTGGAACTTGTGATTTGGAAAAAGGAATGTCATCGGCAACTTTTCTTGGCAAGAACTTAGCATATTCTCGGATAGGAAATTGCAAGGTCATTACACTCCCTACATAAAGATCTTCTATACCGAAAAAAGCTACCTTGAAGGCTTCTGTATGATCAACTTTCGAAGATAGTTTTCCGTTTGATTCCCCTAAATCTTGTCCAATTTTCACTTGGTTCTCAGCATGCGAGTCTTTCAACCAACCATCAAGGTATGCTTGCTTGAAATTCGGGATAGATTTTGCATTGTCAACATGGTTATCTTTCAACCAGCCATCAAGGTAAACTTGGTTGGAGTTAGGGGAGGAATTTTCTTTCTCATCTTGTGTATCTTTCAACCATCCATCAAGGTAAACATGGTTGGAGTCAAGTGTCGATTTTTCTTTCAAATCCCTATTATCTTTCAACCATCCATCAAGGTAAACTTGGTTGGATTTAGGGTTAGATTTTTCATTTTCGGCCTGGGCATCTTTCAACCATCCATCAAGGTAAACTTGGTTGGAGTTAGGGTTGGATTTCACTTTTACGGCTCGAGTGTCTTTCACCCATCCATCAACGTAAACTTGGTTGGAATTAGGATTGGCGTTTCCTTTCTCAGCTTTATCATCTTTCAACCATCCATCAAGGTAAACTTGGTTGGATTCAGGGTTTGATTTTTCTTTCTCAGCCCGAGTATCTTTCAACCATCCATCGAGGTAAATTTGGTTGGAGTCAGTGTTGACTTTTTCTTTCTCAGCCCGAGTATCTTTCAACCATCCATCAAGGTAAACTTGGTTGGAGCCAAGGTTAGATTTTGCGTTTTGAGCTCGGGTATCTTTCAACCATCCATCAAGGTAAACTTGGTTGGAGTCAGGGTTGGCTTTTTCTTTCTCGACTCTAGTATCTTTCAACCATCCATCGAGGTAAACTTGGTTGAAATCAGGGTTGGATTTTTCTTTCTCAGCCCGGGTATCTTTCAACCATCCATCAAGGTAAACTTGGTTGGAGTCTGGGTTGGCTTTTGCTTTCTCAGCCCGAGTATCTTTCAATCATCCATCAAGATAAACTTGGTTAGAGTCAGGGTTAGATTTTGCTTTCTCAGTCCGAGTATCTTTCAACCATCCATCAAGGTAAACTAGGTTGGACTCGGGGTTTAACTTTGCATTTTTGGCTCCGGTATCTTTCAACCATCCGTCAAGGTAAACTTGGTTGGAGTCAGGGTTGGCTTTTTCTTTCTCGACTCTAGTATCTTTCAACCATCCATCGAGGTAAACTTGGTTGGAATCAAGGTTGGCTTTTGCTTTCTCAGTCCGAGTATCTTTTAACCATCCATCAAGGTAAACTTGGTTAGAGTCAGGATTGACTTTTGCTTTCTCAATTCTAGTATCTTTCAACCATCCATCAAGGTAAACTTGGTTGGAGTCATGGAAGGATTTTTGGTTCTTTAGTGGAGTGTTTTTGAGCCAACCATCAAGGTAAGACTGATCAACTTGGTTCATATCTCTTGCAAAGCTTCCATGGCCATTCTACAATACAATTGAATAATGGGATATTAATGAGGGACAAATTAATTATATGTTTTAGATGGTATATATGATTAAAAAAGCATCAACGTGTATATTGAAAGAAATATTCATTATGTATATATAATAGATACATAATTTGAAACATTAAAAGTAGGAAGTATAATATTTTCAATTTCATTCCAGCAAAAAAAAAACACAATTTTGTTAAATCATATAGAGCAACTCGATTATAAATATGTTGAATGCTTGAAAACAACTTAGGAGAAGGAATTTAGAAGCACACATTAAATTAAATTCAACATGCATGTACAATTGCAATAAAGATGAAAATGATATATTATGAATATGTTGAATTTTATTTAGTTTAACATGCATGTACAATTGCAAAACAAAGATGAAGATGATAGAATATTATGAGAAATAGATGATGAAAAATGTAAGTGTAAAAGGTAGAATCATGTATGCAAAGTGTTAGTAACTTACAATCAACAAGAGTAGGAGAAACATAACAACTCTTTGTGCCATTTTTGTATGTTATGTTATTGTGAGAAAATAGTTTTACTGTGAAAATTACATTAGAGTAGAAGTGAGTTGAGTTATTTATAGGCAAGTAAGAGGAAAAATAGAACAAATATCCAACACATTAAGACTTTGTTTGGCAAAATCGTTTTTTAACTTTATAGTTTATTTCTTATAATTTATACCTTCATATGTTTAAAAAATTTCTTTGGTAACTGTTATTTTTCCATGTGCTCATAGCTAATTTTTATCAATTTATAGCTTATTTTGAAAAGTTATTTCAAATTGTTTATAGTTTCTTTTTTTTCTTCCACTTCTATCACTGTAATTTTATAAATTTAAGTTGATGCCTTATCAATCATATGTAATACAATAAAACATAGTTGTTAAATTTGTCTAAACCTGAGTAAAAATTGGTCATTACTATCGATTATTAATTATTCCATGAAACTCGTACACAAAAGTGATATATACTCCATAGTTATGAAATTTTAAATTGGAATTTGATTGATATGTTCAACATAATACTATCATTGTAGGTTGATTATGTCTTTAGGATTATAGTTTCTCTATTTAATTAGTTGTATTTGGACAAGCAATAAACTTTAAAATTGTTAAAAAATCACAATAATAGTCTAATTTGGTTAAAATTCACCTGTGCTATGTTTATTAGTGCTCAATATTAGGGGGGAAACTTTATCCTATGTTTATGGATTTTGTTCCTGTGGACAGACTAGTATACATCATGAATTATGTCTCATGTTTTGGTTATTGTAATGAGTTGTAGCAATCTTGTGTTATCAAGTTCTAGGAATTTGCAACATAAACAACAATGAATTTAGACTTTAAGACAAAATAGTGTCACAAGAAACTCTTAAGATAGTGTATAGAGTTTGCATGTTTAAATAGTTGATGTGACAAGTCAAGCTGACACAACCAAATGTATGAACTTGCGTGTTCTTAAGTAAGCTGACATAATAAGTTAAAAAAAGAAATTGCAGTATATTATATTAATACTCTAAAGCAGTATTTTTTGGTGTAACGTTAAATTGTCAAATTTTATTATCAATAAATGATTATAAGCCAAAATCTTGAAAGGTTTGAAGTTGTATTTTTTTATCAAATTTTTGAAGTAGTACTAGTATTAAAAAAGATGAAACATATGACTAATAAACTATAAACTATATATTCCGTACTATATAGATGAAACATATGACTAACAATCTATGTAATTCGTACTACAATTGATAGAGATTCAAACAAAAAATGTTAGTAATATAAAACCAAAAACACATTTTTCTTAATAATCGATTTTATATTTGGTTATGATTTTAAAGTCTGATGGTTTTCAAATTCTATTTTTTTATAAATAAAAAAAATAAAAAAATTTCTAGCATACATAATAATATTGCCACCATTATAATCCATTTGTATGAGCAATAACACCAATTTTAACTGCAAAAGTATGTATATTAACCCAAAGTAGATAAAAGTTATTTTTCACTGTGGTTTGATTTTTGACTATTTTGGTTAGGTTTTGTTCGGAAAAAAATATTGAAAATTAGTTGATAGTTTATATTTGATGAGGGTTAGTTTATACTTCCTCCGTCCCAAATTCTAAGACGCTTTGGAGAAAAAATGTGTCCCAAATTATAAGTCACTTTACAATTCCAATGTAACATTAATGATGTTTTTCCTAATATACCTTCTATTATTTATTTCTCTTTCTTCATTCAGTTCTCTTAATTTATTTTTCGTCTATAATTAATGAATGACAATTGTGTAAAGTCATACATAATTTCTTTCTCATACAACAATGATTACTTTTCTTGTTACGTACGAAATGCCCAAAACATCTTATAATTTGAAACGGAATGAGTAATTGATAACTAATGATTACTATTTGATTACTTAATTAAAGTGTTAAGTAAAATTAGTTGTTCAATTAGTTATTAAATGTAAAATGACATAAAAGATATTTAATATATAATTATTTTATTTTAAATTAAAATAAATTATAAAAGAAAGTAAATTTTAATTAAAATAATAAAAATAAAAGTCAAATAAAAATGATAAGTAAAGATAAAATGCTATTTGAAAGTGTTTGGAAAATTAAGTTATAAATTAGAAAAATAAATTATAAATTCGTGATGAATTTTTTTTTATCAAATTTATCTTTTCCTCTTATGTGTTTATAACTATAATATAAAAAAAATTGAAAGTGAAATAGTTCTTATATTTTGACTATTTATAAAGAATGCAATTATATAATAGAATAAAATAAATGTTAATATTTTTAATAAAATTATAAATCAATTTATAATTAACATAAATTGTTTTTAAAAGTAAAATAGCATTAAAATAAATTGTTGTGTTTGTTTAAAGTTGTTAAAATAAATTTTTATAACTCTGATTATTTGTGTTTTTAATATATCTATTTCTGATTTAGTTGTTTTCCACGCAGTAAGTAAGTAGTCGTATTTTAGAGTATGTAACTTATGTGCAATGTGCATGACACAATAATACTTGGTGCTTTATTGCTATGTATTCTAAAAAATTACTATACTGTTATGAATTTGTATAAGGCAGGGTTTGACACACTCTTATGTTAATACATATAAGTCATTATTTTCCGGTTTACCCTTTTCCCTGTGACCCTTTTTGGTGTTTTTGTTCCATGTAAGACACGGGTAAAATGAGGTTTATCGAGATCTGTAGAATTTGAAACTCTGATTTTGTAGGTGTGTCATAGAGACATATGAGACATAATATTCATATTTGTGAGAATCATCTTGGTTGTGTGATAGATATGTATGCTTATTTTTAGTGTGTTGAGGTTTATTCCGCGACACTCGTTTACGTGGTTGCTTTCCTAAAGTATCATTGCTTAGTACTCTTAGTTCATATGTGTTTCTTTCAATCCACCAAAAAATCAAATATCTTTCTCTTCCATTTCCCAATATATGTTGATCGTTATATAATGCACCAACAGTGTCTGCTATCTTTAGATTTGGTTCAATTTTGCTAATTTACTATTTTTTTATACCAAGAGAAATCTCTATATGTTAGGTTTGGTTTATTTGAATTATTTGAGTGTGGTTCTCATTCAACCTACCAAGTATAAGGTCCTTGAAACTCTTTAAAATAGAGCTTCATGCCTTCATTGATATATTTAAACATTTGGACCCTCATTTCAGTAGTACAACATATTACTAGATTTGGTCATTCAATAATTTGTCCATATAAAAACTATTATTTTACTGTCATTCTCATGATTTAACAGGGATAGAAACTAGTTATGTATATAATTAAGTTAAGGCAATTTCTCATATTCATTATTACAAACAGAATTACAATATAAAAGATAACACGCATAATAACAGTAGGATAATTGTTCTAAACTCCTTACTTAGAGGTCTAACAAACAACTAACTAAAGTGACGGCATCTCAATCCTTAACATTGTAAATTGAGGTTTATTTTAAAACACAATTACCTAGTTCATAGATACAAGACCTTACTTAGTGCACAAACAAGACCTTACACTACATAAAAATTACATCAATTAAAAGCTTAGGAACAACATGAAAAGGTTTGGAAATGACACATATACCAACTAACAAAGATATGAACTAGTAGTTTCCTTTTGTTCACATGGTGGCAACTGGTGTTGCAGCTGGTGGGCGTGGCACCCATAGAATGTGCTTAACAGGGAAAAAATGGCACAGTGGAGCATCCCCAGGCTTCATTCCAAGTAAGTCAAATATAAAATGATTAGGATTCATGTCAGATGTATCTAGGTGGCAAATTCCCAAAGCATTCATTATGTCTCCATCTTCACCCTTTAAAAGAACTTTGAAAATCTTACTCCCTATGTCTAGGTAGTGGCAATAGTAAAGAGCATATGGGTAAGGCCTAGGGTGACATGCTACCCATTTAGGAGCATAGATATCTTTTGAGATATCCAAAACAGTGTAGTTCTGCAAACGTGCACCTGATGGTGTGGGATGGCTAGTCGAGTGAGTGCTATAATTAGTTTCAGAACCAATAACACTGTGAACAAATTCAAGCATGGACTCTAAAGAAGTAGGACAAGCCTTGGTCTCCCCTTTATTGGGTGGAAACTCACATTGATTAATTACGTCTATCATGTCTTGACCTTGAGGAGAATCTTTTGTGAGTGCGAATAGATCTAGAAGGCTTGGAACTTGTGATTTGGAAAAAGGAATGTCATCGGCAACTTTTCTTGGCAAGAACTTAGCATATTCTCGGATAGGAAATTGCAAGGTCATTACACTCCCTACATAAAGATCTTCTATACCGAAAAAAGCTACCTTGAAGGCTTCTGTATGATCAACTTTCGAAGATAGTTTTCCGTTTGATTCCCCTAAATCTTGTCCAATTTTCACTTGGTTCTCAGCATGCGAGTCTTTCAACCAACCATCAAGGTATGCTTGCTTGAAATTCGGGATAGATTTTGCATTGTCAACATGGTTATCTTTCAACCAGCCATCAAGGTAAACTTGGTTGGAGTTAGGGGAGGAATTTTCTTTCTCATCTTGTGTATCTTTCAACCATCCATCAAGGTAAACATGGTTGGAGTCAAGTGTCGATTTTTCTTTCAAATCCCTATTATCTTTCAACCATCCATCAAGGTAAACTTGGTTGGATTTAGGGTTAGATTTTTCATTTTCGGCCTGGGCATCTTTCAACCATCCATCAAGGTAAACTTGGTTGGAGTTAGGGTTGGATTTCACTTTTACGGCTCGAGTGTCTTTCACCCATCCATCAACGTAAACTTGGTTGGAGTTAGGGTTGGCGTTTCCTTTCTCAGCTTTATCATCTTTCAACCATCCATCAAGGTAAACTTGGTTGGATTCAGGGTTTGATTTTTCTTTCTCAGCCCGAGTATCTTTCAACCATCCATCGAGGTAAATTTGGTTGGAGTCAGTGTTGACTTTTTCTTTCTCAGCCCGAGTATCTTTCAACCATCCATCAAGGTAAACTTGGTTGGAGCCAAGGTTAGATTTTGCGTTTTGAGCTCGGGTATCTTTCAACCATCCATCAAGGTAAACTTGGTTGGAGTCAGGGTTGGCTTTTTCTTTCTCGACTCTAGTATCTTTCAACCATCCATCGAGGTAAACTTGGTTGAAATCAGGGTTGGATTTTTCTTTCTCAGCCCGGGTATCTTTCAACCATCCATCAAGGTAAACTTGGTTGGAGTCTGGGTTGGCTTTTGCTTTCTCAGCCCGAGTATCTTTCAACCATCCATCAAGATAAACTTGGTTAGAGTCAGGGTTGGATTTTGTTTTCTCAGTCCGAGTATCTTTCAACCATCCATCAAGGTAAACTAGGTTGGACTCGGGGTTTAACTTTGCATTTTTGGCTCCGGTATCTTTCAACCATCCGTCAAGGTAAACTTGGTTGGAGTCAGGGTTGGCTTTTTCTTTCTCGACTCTAGTATCTTTCAACCATCCATCAAGGTAAACTTGGTTTGAATCAAGGTTGGCTTTTGCTTTCTCAGTCCGAGTATCTTTTAACCATCCATCAAGGTAAACTTGGTTAGAGTCAGGATTGACTTTTTCTTTCTCAATTCTCGTATCTTCCAACCATCCATCAAGGTAAACTTGGTTGGAGTCATGGAAGGATTTTTGGTTCTTTAGTGGAGTGTTTTTGAGCCAACCATCAAGGTAAGACTGATCAACTTGGTTCATATCTCTTGCAAAGCTTCCATGGCCATTCTACAATACAATTGAATAATGGGATATTAATGAGGGACAAATTAATTATATGTTTTAGATGGTATATATGATTAAAAAAGCATCAATGTGTATATTGAAAGAAATATTCATTATGTATATATAATAGATACATAATTTGAAACATTAAAAGTAGGAAGTATAATATTTTCAATTTCATTCCAGCAAAAAAAAAAAACACAATTTTGTTAAATCATATAGAGCAACTCGATTATAAATATGTTGAATGCTTGAAAACAACTTAGGAGAAGGAATTTAGAAGCACACATTAAATTAAATTCAACATGCATGTACAATTGCAATAAAGATGAAAATGATATATTATGAATATGTTGAATTTTATTTAGTTTAACATGCATGTACAATTGCAAAACAAAGATGAAGATGATAGAATATTATGAGAAATAGATGATGAAAAATGTAAGTGTAAAAGGTAGAATCATGTATGCAAAGTGTTAGTAACTTACAATCAACAAGAGTAGGAGAAACATAACAACTCTTTGTGCCATTTTTGTATGTTATGTTATTGTGAGAAAATAGTTTTACTGTGAAAATTACATTAGAGTAGAAGTGAGTTGAGTTATTTATAGGCAAGTAAGAGGAAAAATAGAACAAATATCCAACACATTAAGACTTTGTTTGGCAAAATCGTTTTTTAACTTTATAGTTTATTTCTTATAATTTATACCTTCATATGTTTAAAAAATTTCTTTGGTAACTGTTATTTTTCCATGTGCTCATAGCTAATTTTTATCAATTTATAGCTTATTTTGAAAAGTTATTTCAAATTGTTTATAGTTTCTTTTTTTTTCTTCCACTTCTATCACTGTAATTTTATAAATTTAAGTTGATGCCTTATCAGTCATATGTAATACAATAAAACATAGTTGTTAAAATTGTCTAAACCTGAGTAAAAATTGGTCATTACTATCGATTATTAATTATCCCATGAAACTCGTACACAAAAGTGATATACACTCCATAGTTATGAAATTTTAAATTGGAATTTGATTGATATGTTCAACATAATACTATCATTGTAGGTTGATTATGTCTTTAGGATTATAGTTTCTCTATTTAATTAGTTGTATTTGGACAAGCAATAAACTTTAAAATTGTTAAAAAAATCACAATAATAGTCTAATTTGGTTAAAATTCACCTGTGCTATGTTTATTGGTGCTCAATATTAGGGGGGAAACTTTATCCTATGTTTATGGATTTTGTTCCTGTGGACAAACTAGTATACATCATGAATCATGTCTCATGTTTTGGTTATTGTAATGAGTTGTAGCAATCTTGTGTTATCAAGTTCTAGGAATTTGCAACATAAACAACAATGAATTTAGACTTTAAGACAAAATAGTGTCACAAGAAACTCTTAAGATAGTGTATAGAGTTTGCATGTTTAAATAGTTGATGTGACAAGTCAAGCTGACACAACCAAATGTATGAACTTGCGTGTTCTTAAGTAAGCTGACATAATAAGTTAAGAAAAGAAATTGCAGTATATTATATTAATACTCTAAAGCAGTATTTTTTGGTGTAACGTTAAATTGTCAAATTTTATTATCAATAAATGATTATAAGCCAAAATCTTGAAAGGTTTGAAGTTGTATTTTTTTATCAAATTTTTGAAGTAGTACTAGTATTAAAAAAGATGAAATATATGACTAATAAACTATAAACTATATATTCCGTACTATATAGATGAAACATATGACTAACAATCTATGTAATTCGTACTACAATTGATAGAGATTCAAACAAAAAATGTTAGTAATATAAAACCAAAAACACATTTTTCTTAATAATCGATTTTATATTTGGTTATGATTTTAAAGTCTGATGGTTTTCAAATTCTATTTTTTTATAAATAAAAAAATTCCTAGCATACATAATAATATTGCCACCATTATAATCCATTTGTATGAGCAATAACACCAATTTTAACTGCAAAAGTATGTATATTAACCCAAAGTAGATAAAAGTTATTTTTCACTGTGGTTTGATTTTTGACTATTTTGGTTAGGTTTTGTTCGGAAAAAAATATTGAAAATTAGTTGATAGTTTATATTTGATGAGGGTTAGTTTATACTTCCTCCGTCCCAAATTCTAAGACGCTTTGGAGAAAAAATGTGTCCCAAATTATAAGTCACTTTACAATTCCAATGTAACATTAATGATGTTTTTCCTAATATACCTTCTATTATTTATTTCTCTTTCTTCATTCAGTTCTCTTAATTTATTTTTCGTCTATAATTAATGAATGACAATTGTGTAAAGTCATACATAATTTCTCTTTCTCATACAACAATGATTACTTTTCTTGTTACGTACGAAATGCCCAAAACATCTTATAATTTGAAACGGAATGAGTAATTGATAACTAATGATTACTATTTGATTAGTTAATTAAAGTGTTAAGTAAAATTAGTTGTTCAATTAGTTATTAAATGTAAAATGACATAAAAGATATTTAATATATAATTATTTTATTTTAAATTAAAATAAATTATAAAAGAAAGTAAATTTTAATTAAAATAATAAAAATAAAAGTCAAATAAAAATGATAAGTAAAGATAAAATGCTATTTGAAAGTGTTTGGAAAATTAAGTTATAAATTAGAAAAATAAATTATAAATTCGTGATGAATTTTTTTTTATCAAATTTATCTTTTCCTCTTATGTGTTTATAACTATAATATAAAAAAAATTGAAAGTGAAATAGTTCTTATATTTTGACTATTTATAAAGAATGCAATTATATAATAGAATAAAATAAATGTTAATATTTTTAATAAAATTATAAATCAATTTATAATTAACATAAATTGTTTTTAAAAGTAAAATAGCATTAAAATAAATTGTTGTGTTTGTTTAAAGTTGTTAAAATAAATTTTTATAACTCTGATTATTTATGTTTTTAATATATCTATTTCTGATTTAGTTGTTTTCCACGCAGTAAGTAAGTAGTCGTATTTTAGAGTATGTAACTTATGTGCAATGTGCATGACACAATAATACTTGGTGCTTTATTGCTATGTATTCTAAAAAATTACTATACTGTTATGAATTTGTATAAGGCAGGGTTTGACACACTCTTATGTTAATACATATAAGTCATTATTTTCCGGTTTACCCTTTTCCCTGTGACCCTTTTTGGTGTTTTTGTTCCATGTAAGACACGGGTAAAATGAGGTTTATCGAGATCTGTAGAATTTGAAACTCTGATTTTGTAGGTGTGTCATAGAGACATATGAGACATAATATTCATATTTGTGAGAATCATCTTGGTTGTGTGATAGATATGTATGCTTATTTTTAGTGTGTTGAGGTTTATTCCGCGACACTCGTTTACGTGGTTGCTTTCCTAAAGTATCATTGCTTAGTACTCTTAGTTCATATGTGTTTCTTTCAATCCACCAAAAAATCAAATATCTTTCTCTTCCATTTCCCAATATATGTTGATCGTTATATAATGCACCAACAGTGTCTGCTATCTTTAGATTTGGTTCAATTTTGCTAATTTACTATTTTTTTATACCAAGAGAAATCTCTATATGTTAGGTTTGGTTTATTTGAATTATTTGAGTGTGGTTCTCATTCAACCTACCAAGTATAAGGTCCTTGAAACTCTTTAAAATAGAGCTTCATGCCTTCATTGATATATTTAAACATTTGGACCCTCATTTCAGTAGTACAACATATTACTAGATTTGGTCATTCAATAATTTGTCCATATAAAAACTATTATTTTACTGTCATTCTCATGATTTAACAGGGATAGAAACTAGTTATGTATATAATTAAGTTAAGGCAATTTCTCATATTCATTATTACAAACAGAATTACAATATAAAAGATAACACGCATAATAACAGTAGGATAATTGTTCTAAACTCCTTACTTAGAGGTCTAACAAACAACTAACTAAAGTGATGGCATCTCAATCCTTAACATTGTAAATTGAGGTTTATTTTAAAACACAATTACCTAGTTCATAGATACAAGACCTTACTTAGTGCACAAACAAGACCTTACACTACATAAAAATTACATCAATTAAAAGCTTAGGAACAACATGAAAAGGTTTGGAAATGACACATATACCAACTAACAAAGATATGAACTAGTAGTTTCCTTTTGTTCACATGGTGGCAACTGGTGTTGCAGCTGGTGGGCGTGGCACCCATAGAATGTGCTTAACAGGGAAAAAATGGCACAGTGGAGCATCCCCAGGCTTCATTCCAAGTAAGTCAAATATAAAATGATTAGGATTCATGTCAGATGTATCTAGGTGGCAAATTCCCAAAGCATTCATTATGTCTCCATCTTCACCCTTTAAAAGAACTTTGAAAATCTTACTCCCTATGTCTAGGTAGTGGCAATAGTAAAGAGCATATGGGTAAGGCCTAGGGTGACATGCTACCCATTTAGGAGCATAGATATCTTTTGAGATATCCAAAACAGTGTAGTTCTGCAAACGTGCACCTGATGGTGTGGGATGGCTAGTCGAGTGAGTGCTATAATTAGTTTCAGAACCAATAACACTGTGAACAAATTCAAGCATGGACTCTAAAGAAGTAGGACAAGCCTTGGTCTCCCCTTTATTGGGTGGAAACTCACATTGATTAATTACGTCTATCATGTCTTGACCTTGAGGAGAATCTTTTGTGAGTGCGAATAGATCTAGAAGGCTTGGAACTTGTGATTTGGAAAAAGGAATGTCATCGGCAACTTTTCTTGGCAAGAACTTAGCATATTCTCGGATAGGAAATTGCAAGGTCATTACACTCCCTACATAAAGATCTTCTATACCGAAAAAAGCTACCTTGAAGGCTTCTGTATGATCAACTTTCGAAGATAGTTTTCCGTTTGATTCCCCTAAATCTTGTCCAATTTTCACTTGGTTCTCAGCATGCGAGTCTTTCAACCAACCATCAAGGTATGCTTGCTTGAAATTCGGGATAGATTTTGCATTGTCAACATGGTTATCTTTCAACCAGCCATCAAGGTAAACTTGGTTGGAGTTAGGGGAGGAATTTTCTTTCTCAGCTTGTGTATCTTTCAACCATCCATCAAGGTAAACATGGTTGGAGTCAAGTGTCGATTTTTCTTTCAAATCCCTGTTATCTTTCAACCATCCATCAAGGTAAACTTGGTTGGATTTAGGGTTAGATTTTTCATTTTCGGCCTGGGCATCTTTCAACCATCCATCAAGGTAAACTTGGTTGGAGTTAGGGTTGGATTTCACTTTTACCGCTCGAGTGTATTTCACCCATCCATCAACGTAAACTTGGTTGGAGTTAGGGTTGGCGTTTGCTTTCTCAGCTTTATCATCTTTCAACCATCCATCAAGGTAAACTTGGTTGGATTCAGGGTTGGATTTTTCTTTCTCAGCCCGAGTATCTTTCAACCATCCATCGAGGTAAATTTGGTTGGAGTCAGTGTTGACTTTTTCTTTCTCAGCCCGAGTATCTTTCAACCATCCATCAAGGTAAACTTGGTTGGAGCCAAGGTTAGATTTTGCGTTTTGAGCTCGGGTATCTTTCAACCATCCATCAAGGTAAACTTGGTTGGAGTCAGGGTTGGCTTTTTCTTTCTCGACTCTAGTATCTTTCAACCATCCATCGAGGTAAACTTGGTTGAAATCAGGGTTGGATTTTTCTTTCTCAGCCCGGGTATCTTTCAACCATCCATCAAGGTAAACTTGGTTGGAGTCTGGGTTGGCTTTTGCTTTCTCAGCCCGAGTATCTTTCAACCATCCATCAAGATAAACTTGGTTAGAGTCAGGGTTGGATTTTGCTTTCTCAGTCCGAGTATCTCTCAACCATCCATCAAGGTAAACTAGGTTGGACTCGAGGTTTAACTTTGCATTTTTGGCTCCGGTATCTTTCAACCATCCGTCAAGGTAAACTTGGTTGGAGTCAGGGTTGGCTTTTTCTTTCTCGACTCTAGTATCTTTCAACCATCCATCGAGGTAAACTTGGTTGGAATCAAGGTTGGCTTTTGCTTTCTCAGTCCGAGTATCTTTCAACCATCCATCAAGGTAAACTTGGTTAGAGTCAGGATTGACTTTTACTTTCTCAATTCTAGTATCTTTCAACCATCCATCAAGGTAAACTTGGTTGGAGTCATGGAAGGATTTTTGGTTCTTTAGTGGAGTGTTTTTGAGCCAACCATCAAGGTAAGACTGATCAACTTGGTTCATATCTCTTGCAAAGCTTCCATGGCCATTCTACAATACAATTGAATAATGGGATATTAATGAGGGACAAATTAATTATATGTTTTAGATGGTATATATGATTAAAAAAGCATCAATGTGTATATTGAAAGAAATATTCATTATGTATATATAATAGATACATAATTTGAAACATTAAAAGTAGGAAGTATAATATTTTCAATTTCATTCCAGCAAAAAAAAAAAACACAATTTTGTTAAATCATATAGAGCAACTCGATTATAAATATGTTGAATGCTTGAAAACAACTTAGGAGAAGGAATTTAGAAGCACGCATTAAATTAAATTCAACATGCATGTACAATTGCAATAAAGATGAAAATGATATATGATGAATATGTTGAATTTTATTTAGTTTAACATGCATGTACAATTGCAAAACAAAGATGAAGATGATAGAATATTATGAGAAATAGATGATGAAAAATGTAAGTGTAAAAAGGTAGAATCATGTATGCAAAGTGTTAGTAACTTACAATCAACAAGAGTAGGAGAAACATAACAACTCTTTGTGCCATTTTTGTATGTTATGTTATTGTGAGAAAATAGTTTTACTGTGAAAAATACATTAGAGTAGAAGTGAGTTGAGTTATTTATAGGCAAGTAAGAGGAAAAATAGAACAAATATCCAACACATTAAGACTTTGTTTGGCAAAATCGTTTTTTAACTTTATAGTTTATTTCTTATAATTTATTCCTTCATATGTTTAAAAAATTTCTTCGGTAACTGTTATTTTTCCATGTGCTGATAGCTAATTTTTATCAATTTATAGTTTTTTTAAGTTGTATCAAATTGTTTATAGTTTTTTTTTCTTCCACTTCTATCATTGTAATTTTAAAAAATTTAAGTTGATGCCTTATCCGTCATATGTAATGCAATAAAACGGAGTTGTTAAATTTTTGTAAACCTGAGTAAAAATTGGTCATTACTATCAATTATTAATTATCACATGAAACTCATACACAAAAGTGATATATACTCCATACTTATGAAATTTTAAATTGGAATTTGGCTTATATGTTCTACTTAATACTATCATTGTAGGTTGATTATGTCTTTAGGATTGTAATTTCTCTATTTAATTAGTTGTATTTGGATAAGTAATAAACTTTAAAATTGTAAAAAAAATCTCAATAATAGTCTAATTTGGTTAAAATTCACATGTGCTATGTTTATTGGTGTTCAACATTAGGGGAAAACTTTATCCTATGTTTATGGATTTTGTGCCTGAGGACAGACTAGTATACATCATGAATCATGTCTCATGTTTTGGTTATTGTAATGAGTTGTATGAATCTTGTGTTATCAAGTTCTAGGAATTCGCAACATAGACAACAATGAATTTAGACTTTAAGACAAAATAGTGTCACAAGAAACTCTTAAGATAGTGTGTAGAGTTTGCATGTTTAATTAGTTAATGTGACAAGTCAAGCTGACACAACCAAATGCATGAACTTGCATGTTCTTAAATAAGTTGGCATAATAAATTTAAAAAAGAAATTGCAGTACATTATATTAATATTCTAAAGTAGCATTTTTTGGTGTAACGTTAAATTGTCAAATTTTATTATCAATAAATGATTATAAGCCAAAAGCTTGAAAGGTTTGAAGTTGTATTTTTTAATCAAATTTTCGAAGTAGTACTATTATTAAAAAAGATGAAACATATGACTAACAAACTATAAACTATATACTCCGTACTACATAGATGAAACATATGACTAACAATCTATGTAATTCGTACTACAATTGATAGAGATTCAAACAAAAAATGTTAGTAATATAAAACCAAAAACACATTTTTCTTAATAATCGATTTTATATTTGGTTAAGATTTTAAAGTCTGATGGTTTTCAAATTCTATTTTTTTATAAAAAAAAAACATTCCTAGCATACATAATAATATTGCCACCATTATAATCCATTTGTATGAGCAATAACACCAATTTTAACTGCAAAAGTATATATATTAACCCAAAGTAGATAAAAGTTATTTTTCACTGTGGTTTGATTTTTGACTATTTTGTTTAGGTTTTGTTCAGAAAAAATATTGAAAATTAGTTGATAGTTTATATTTGATGAGTGATAGTTTATACTCCCTCCGTTATAATGTGTCCCAAATTATAAGTTACTTTACAATTCCAATGCAACATTAATGATATTTTTCCTAATATACCTTCTACTATTTATTTCTCTTTCTTCATTAAGTTCTCTTAATTTACAATCAACAAGAGTAGGAGAAATATAACAACTCTTTGTGCCATTTTTCTATGCTATGTTATTGTGAGAAAATACTTGTACTGTGAAAGATGGATTAAAGTAGAAGTGAGTTGAGTTATTTATAGGCAAGTAAGAGGAAAAATAGAACAAATAGCCAACATATTAAGACTTTGTTTGGCAAAATCTTTTTTTAACTTTATTTTTTATTTCTTATAATTTATACCTTCATATGTTTAAAAAATTTCTTTGGTAATTGTTATCTTGTCATGTGCTTATAGCTAATTTTTATCAATTTATAGCTTATTTTTAAAAGTGATAAATACTCCATAATTATAAAATTTTAGGTTGAAATTTGACCGATATGTTCAACTTAATACTATCTTTGTAGATTGATTATGTCTTTGGGATTGTAATTTCTCTATTTAATTAGTTGTATTTGGACAAAAATTAAACTTTAAAATTGTAACGAAATTACAATAACAGTCTAATTTGGTTAAATTCACCAATGCTATGTTTATTGGTCCTCAACATTAGGGGGAAACCTTATCCTATATTTCTGGATTTTGTGCATGAGGACCGACTAGTATACGTCATGAATCATGTCTCATGTTTGGGGACTAGTATACGTCATGAATCATGTCTCATGTTTGGGTTATTGTAATAGTTTTATCAATCTTTAGTTACTAAGTCCTAGGAATTTACAACATAAATAAACAATAATGAATATGAATCCAGACTTTAAGACAAAATAGTGTCACAAGAAACTCTTAAAATAGTGTGTAGAATTTGCATACTTAAATAGTTAATGTGACAAGTCAAGTTGACACAACCACATGCATGAGTTTGCATGTTCTTAAGTAAGTTGGCATGATAAATTAAAAAAAAGAAGTTATATTACATTATATTAATACTCCAAAAACTTAAAAGGTTTGAAGTTGTATTTTTTTTAATCAAATTTTAGAAATAGTACTACTACATAGATGAAACATATGACTAACAAATTACTTATAAAATATGTACTATGTATTATATAGATGAAATATATGACTAAAAACCATAAACTATGTACTCTGAACTACATAAATGAAACATATAACTAACAACTTATGTAATCCATACTACAATTGACAGAGATTTAAACAAAAAATATTAGAAATATAAAAAGTTTAATTAGTGTTGCGGTCTCTTAATTTAACTTAAATTTTTATTTTTGATTCCTTATTTAATAAACGTTATGTTTAAAAGTTTTTCAAAAATTATTCTCTTAGTCAATTTAATTCATTCCGTTAATTTTTAATTTTAAATATCTTAGGCTGGACTATATTGTCACTATAGACTTTATTATTATTTTTAATTTTAATTATTTAATTATTTAAATAAATTTTACAATTTTAAATTTTGAGGGTCTATTTATTTAAATAGTATACTATCAACACCTAATATTTTTTTGTACCTATCTTCATCTTCTTCTCTTTCTTCATTTTTATCTTCATCCAAAATCTAGAAAAATTAAAATTCAAAAACCAATAAATCTAAATCTCTCAACAAGGTTAAAGTCAAATTAGAAATCTTCTTGTTATGTGGAAACTCTTAAAGCTTTTTTGGAATCACAATTCAGAATTTATGAGGAGCAATAACTCATTAAGGAATATGATTGTACATAAATCTCCACCGTTGACACTAGTTGTTTCAATTTAGAATTTGTTTGCAAAGTTATTTAAGAATTTGCTCATTAGTTCTTACAACATTTGTTTCAGAACTTGCTCATTAATTGTTGCAACATTTGTTTTAGAGTTTGTTGAAAATTTGTTTTCAATTCTCGTAACACTCATCACACACTTTGTTCATGGGAAGTGAAAAGTGGAGAAAAAAAATTGGATCTGAAAAGATCTTCAAAGTAGTTTGATTTTTTGACTATTTTGTTTAGGTTTTGTTCGAAAAAAATATTGAAAATTAGTTGATAGTTTATAGTTGATGAAAGATAGTTTATAATTGATAATTAATTATTATTATTTGATTATTTAATTAAAGTGTTAAATAAAATTAATTGTTCAATTAGTTATTAAATGTAAAATAATAGTATAAAAGATATTTAATAATATAAAAAATATTTAATACATAAATATTTTATTTTAAATTAAAATAAATTATAAAAGATAAAAGTACATTTTAATTAAAATAATAAAAAGAAAAGTGAACTAAAAAATGATAAATTAAGATAAAATTCTATTTGAAAATGTTTGGAAAATTAAATTATAAATTAGAAAAATAAATTATAAATTCCTGATG